TCCAGCTTCCCAAGGTTCATAGATCTTACATTCCAGGTTCCTATGCAATATTTTTCTTTCCAGCATCGGACTTTCCTTTCACTTCCAGGCATGTCCACAGCTGAGCGTCCTTTCGGCTTTGGCCCAACCACTTCATTAGCTCTGGAGCTACTTGTACTTGTCCTCCACTCTTCCTCAGTAGCATGTTGGATGCCTTCTGACCTGAGGGGCCCATCTTCCAGCGTCATATCTTTGTTTCTGGTCATGGAGTGTTCTTGGCAAAAATACTGGAGTGGCATTGCCAGTTCCTGCTCCAGGTGGATGGCCTGATAAACCCCTTCCAACTCCGCTATTCTATGGTTCAATGATTTTTTTTGTCTCCAGTGTTTGTGTTTGGTTCACCTGTCACTGGAATAGAACACACCCACCCCACAAATACCCCATGGTATTGAAAGCGCCCCTTGGGCTGAAAGGGGCTCTCCACCCCACCCCATGCTCAGGACAGGAGAAATACCCTGAGCAAGAATCTTCCAATCCATGGATGTGTTCAAGGGACCCCCCCCCCAAGGGCAAAGCAACATCTTATAAATAAATCTTAGAGGCGTTAACTGGCAGGAGGACGGGTTCGGGGTGACCCTCTGGAGAACCACCTTGCCGTTCTTGTGCCTAAGGTTGGCCGCCCGGCTGCAGATCTGCCACCCTCAGTCCACCCCGTCTCTACTTTCCCAGGCCCACTTCATCTCTACTTCGCTTCCTCAGATTTCGACGAGGACGGCTTCATTGATCAGGAAGACCTCCAGAAGGTCATCCGCAGGCTGGTGGACAAGAAGCGTCTGAGCGAGGAGGAGATTTCATCCCTGGCTCACCACGTGCGTATCCTCCTTGCCGCCTTTTCCTTTGGGGGGAGAGTCCAGAGATTCTTGACACTGAGGTTGGCTGCAATGGGGTGTCCCGGAGATTTCGACGAGGACGGCTTCATTGATCAGGAAGACCTCCAGAAGGTCATCCGCAGGCTGGTGGATAAGAAGCGTCTGAGCGAGGAGGAGATTTCATCCCTGGCCCACCACGTGCGTATCCTCCTTGCCGGCTTTCCCTTTCCTTGGGGGGTCCAGAGATTCTTGACACTGAGGTTGGCTGCAATGGGGTGTCCCGGGACGGTCACAGCAGGGGAGGGATGATGGGCCATGAACCTCTAAGACAAAGAAGAGGAGCACCCAACCCACGTGTGGTTGCGCTCCAGCCTGGGAAGAGTGCAGGGGAGGCTCCCGATCCTCCTGCACTGGGAAAGATTTTCTGACACCCTGTGAGCCCTCCCAGGTGAGACGGTGAGCCAACTGAATCTGCACGATGCTCCTTCCTTACACTGAGCCGCACCAAGGAAGGAGTTTGGAAGAAGCTACTTTCTGAATCACGTACACAAATTCCCAGAGGGCATGTTGGCTAGCGGCCCTTGGAATTGTGGTTTCCCAAAAGTAACTTTTCCTCAATTAAGTAGAGGTGCACCTGGAGTGACGGATGGTTTTCTTATTGCTGTTTAACTAGAAATATTTCATATGGTCTGAGCTGTCTGCATGTCCCCAGAGAAGCTGCGTGGCCTTTGCAACCCAGGCGGATTTCCCAGCGTTAATTTCTGTTTTTCACAGAGCAGCAGTTCCCAACGTTAGGTGTTCTTGGACTGCAACTCCCAGAAACCTTCACCACTGGCAGTGCTGGCCAGAGTTTCTTGGCCTGGAGCACCTCTCGTCTTTTTTATTTATCTCAAATATTTTTACCCACCCTTTCTCCTTAAAGGTTTCTTGGCCTGGAGCACCTCTTGTTTTTTTTTTTTAATTTATCTCAAATATTTTTGCCCACCCTTTCTCCTTAAAAGGAGCCTTCTCTGGATCAAGTTTCGGTTCATGTGCCCTTATCCAGTCCATTGCTGTCACCAGACACTGATCGTAGAGCCGATGCAGCTTCCTCAGATTTAGAAGGCAAGGAGAGAGAGAGATGAGTGTCATCCAGATACTGTTTCCGCCCCAGTTGCTGGGTCTCTTGAGTAGTTCCTGGCTCCCTCAAGGGGATCCTGCAGGCTTCTACCTTCCCCACCCCATCCCTCAGGATGGGACTCCTTGGAAGAGCTAACGTGAAATGCTGGTCTCAGCTGGAGAATCTCGTGGTGCAGGGGGCAAACCCAGACCTTAAATCCCCACCCACCTTGTCATCACAGCATCAAAACCAAAACCGATGTCTCCCTGCTGGACAGGATGGAGAGAGGTTCTGATCTCCTCTCGCCCCCCTTTTTAAAAAAATCAGAGCTTTTTCTTATGAAAAGAACAAGATTTGGGTTTAAAAGGGTGTGTGCTTCAGTTGTTCGTCTCTTTAGGCTAACGTGACTCATGTTGCCACAATCACAAGCCTTTCCCTACTCTCACGGGAATGAAAAATGTCTCTCAACCCTGGGCTGCTTTTCAGAAAGAGTGCCGCCGTGTTTTAAGACACCCCTTTTTTTCTTGGCTAAGGAGGAGAACATTTGCAAGGATTTGTTATGTCCTTACTCTCAGGACAGGCATGATCTCTCTCTCTCTCTCTCTCTCTCTCTCTCTCTCTCTGTGTGTGTGTGTGTGTGTGTGTGTCTCTCTCTGTGTGTGTGTGTGTGTGTTTGGGTGCACACCGTAGAGGTATGAGGAGTTGTAACACAAGTGTTTTGTGTTCTAACAGATTCTGGAAGAAGCTGACTTGGACAAAGACAAAATGCTCTCTCTGGCAGAGTTTGAGCATGCCATGGCAAAGTCTCCAGATTTCTTACAGTAAGAATCGGATATTTATTTCTTTATTTTATTTTTACTTTTACTTTCACTGTTACTTACTTACTTACTTACTTACTTACTTACTTACTTACTTACTTACTTACTTACTCACTTACTTACTTACTCACTTATTTATTTATTTATTTATTTATACTACAGTTGGACCCCCTGCCCCATATCTGTGGGATCAGTATTCAGTAATATTACAAAATATTAAAAGAAAAGATCCAGAAACAAATTATTTCAACATGTAGTACCATAACAGGTCACGAGATGGAGCCAGAGCCCATGATATAAATACTTTTTAGTGAAAAATACATAGCATGGGCCCTGATGCCTTCTAGTGACCAGGTCTGTTAATACATGCAATTTTTTTCTTGGATGGATGGATGGATGGATGGATGGATGGATGGATGGATGGATGGATGGATGGATGGATGGATGGATGGATGGATGGATGGGTGGATATCGATAAGTAGAAGGGAGACCTGGAATCTTGATGTTGTCCACCATCCACAGTGAACAGCAAACTCTGCCGGCATGCAGGGATCACTGTTCTCATCATTTCAGCCAGAAGCACTGCAGTTCTGAATTACAGAAAACATTCCTAATTTTGCATCTGCTCATATATAGCACCACAGGAAATATTATACCAATCGGTGTCCTCTTAGGTCCTGGTTTTGGGGGTGTGCAGTTGTACACCCTAGCTACCCTCCTCCCATTGTCCCCAGTCTCCCACTGGTTTCAGGGGATCATCCTAACTTCTGCTGACCTCGTCATTTTCCTGACTCTTCCCGAGACAGAGAGAGATGCGTGGGTTCGCAGTCTCATCTTTTCCTGTGGATCTCACAGCTGGTTGTGAGTCAGGATTCACACAGCCCCATGGCAGGAGAAGCCTGCCAAATTTGGCGATCCTGGGGGTGTGGGTGTTCTACTCTGTGGGACCCAGTGGTCAATCAAAGTGGGCACTGAGAGTTCAGGAATCCCCATGGCTGTTAAGGAGCCTTCCAGGAACCAACCATCCATCCATCCATCCATGGTGGCAGCCAACCAGTTCAAGGGGACAGGAGAAGCAGAGAGGAGGGTGGCAGCCACCCAGTGGTCCAAACGGCATCTGTGACTCACATCAATTTATTTTCCAAGCTCTTTTAGGATCTGCTTCTGAGAAGGAAGAGGAAGGAAGCAGGGCAGGAGACTCCAGGCAGCACTGAAGCTTTCTACCCGCCGCACGGACGGTTGGGGAGAGAACCCAGCGGCAAATCAGATTACAGTATATATTTTGCATTGGGAGTGAGAATAAAAGCAATGCCAAGGAAAGGCAGCCCTCCCCGGTTCCTCTTTCTTGCCCTCTGCGGTCACAGAGAATGGCAGCATTTTAGCTGCCCAGGGGAGGGGGCATGTCTGTGAAAGTGGGGAGCGCTTGAGAAAGTTACTTTTTCCTAGGGTGGAGGTTTCAGAGTTCCAGAATCCCACAGAGTTCAGGGGAAATCCGTTCCAGGAATCCAAACAGCCATGTGTCCTGAGCCCTGGGAGGGGAGGAGTGGGCGACAAGATATGCACACCAAGGACCAGTGCATTGGTTCAGGTCATGCACGAAGGAAGGAAGGTGTCCAGTTCTGGGCACCCCATTTTAAGAACAACATCGGCAAGCCAGATTGCTGTTGCTGAGTTTTGAAATTTTGGTTCAGTTCCTCTAGCTGCACAGCAGAAGTGCCAAGGATTCACAGAGCAGGATAGCCTCACGTCCCCCGGAGTAGTCCACCCCTTTTCGTATCCACTGGCACTTACAGTCTCAGTAATTCCCTTTGAGACATTAGTGGTAGAAAGAACAAAGATCTCTCGGGAACAATTGAAAAAGCAGGGCTGGGCACAGAAAAGGTCAACGGGAGATGCCAGGGGAGACAGGGAGCGGGCAACATGGTATAGAACATGCAATGTTTTCCTCCAGATGGATGACTCAAGAACAGAGGTGAGGACCCCCGTCTAGCGCTTTTCACTCCATCGTCTCCTGAGTACTTTTTTGCAGCCTCTTGCTCAACTCACATATGAAAACAAAATCCCTTGCTCTAAAGTTTCCCTCCCAGGCCGCTAAATCATTTAAAATGTCTTGCCAGACCCAGCAGAGGTGCCAATGAAGGCCGCGTTTACCTCCTGATGACCAGCCAGAAAAAGAAAAACCAGCAAATTTGCAACCTGTGAAATGAGGCCAGTTCCGGCTGAAATAAACCGGCGCCTTTCACTCTTAGCAGAGCTCCGTTTAGCTGCATCACCCATTTGGGGTCCACCCGCTCCCACTTCCGACTTCCCATTTCATTTCTAGAAAATGCTGCATGTGGACAAGAAAAACGTGGATCGCCCCCTGGCAGATCTGCTTTGATTTGTATTCCTGCGCTGAGCAGGGGGGTTGGACTGGATGGCCTTGTTGGGCCCCTTCCAACTTCACTTTTCTGTGATTTCTCGATTCTATACCTTCATGGTTAGTTAAGACAGCCAGTATCTGGCCGTCTCTGTTTGTTAAATGCTGGATCTGTAACGCATCTGCATGGGCTCCATTCGTCTCCTGGTCTAAAGAGTTCAGGAGACCAGGCGAAAGAAGACGTTCAGCTCCTACATTATTCATGGTCAGCAGATCCCTCCCCAGGAACTTGTCGTTCTCTCTCTCCATGGAAGCCGACTTGCCATCATCCCACGCAGGGCCTGTCTCGGCACACACGGATCCCGTCCGGCTTCTCCCATTGGGATGGTCGGCGGACTGCAATCATAACCAAACCCTTGGGGTCAGGCAAGTTGGGCGAAAGTCTGAATTCTGCACCACCACCTCAAGAAATTTTATCCACATGTGAACATACGGCCAACAAGAGCCAAAGATGGGTCATGCCATTTATTGATCTGTTCACACATTTATTACACAAGCCCAAAGCAGTGTGTGGTCCATCTTCTCTCCATCATCACATCACCCCATATGAGCCTTCTTGTCTTTTAAGATTGTCTGGGGAGGCCCTTTTCTCAGTTCCACCGCATCCCCAAACTCCCCTCCTGGTGAGGACACGGGGCTGGGCCTTCTCAGTGGCTGCTATGAGGCTTTGGAACGCATTGCCCCGAGAAGCCAGGCTGGCCCCCTCCCTCTGGCCCTTCTCTCGCCAGACAAAGACCCACTCTTCCGCCAGGCCTTTAAGCGGTCGGTTATCTCAGGAATGCTAGTTTTTAGCTTCCAGGTTTTTAAACTGTTTCTGAATTGTTTTTATACAGTGGCGCCCCGCTTGACGATGATAATCCGTTCCAGGAAAATCACTGTTAAGCGATATTGTTGTCAAGCGGAAAAACCCCATTGAAATGTATTGAAAACTGGTTCAATGCATTCCAATGGGGGAAATACCAGTTCATTTTCCGGAGATCCTCCATAGGGCGGCCATTTTGAAATGCCTGTAAAGTGAAGAATCGGTCCTGAAAAAAGCGGGGAGCCATTTTGCAACCCGTCGATCAGCTGTTTTCAATCATCACCCAGTGAAAAAACGGTTCCTGAAGCTGGGAACTGATTGTCGTAAAACTAAAAAACCCCATTAAATCATCGTTTTGCAATCGCTAGAGCGATTGCAAAAAAGGCATCAAGCGATTTCAGCGTCAAGCGGGGTAATCATCAAGTGGGGTACCACTGTACTTGTTTCAATTTGAATATATGTTTGTTTTTTTAAAAAGATATAATATATAGTTTGTTTAACATCTATTTTTTTCTTCTTCTTGTGAGCCACCTTGGGTCCCTTATGGGGAGAAAAGCAGGACGTATTAAACAAACAAACAAACAAACCTCACATCAGCCCAGGGAAGGAGGTCAGGCTGAGTGAGAGGTCCAAGGGCAACCAGGTGCTCATGATGGATGAGCCCCTGGGGGACTCCCCGAATCTCTTGCGGAGTGTTGCCCAGAACACGGAGTTCTTGGGCCCATAGCTCTCAAGAGTTCTTAGCTCCATGGTTTAAGTAGCTGATGGTGGAGCCAGAGGTTGGGAGTTTGATCCCCCCCCCCGCCCAGTGAGCCTCCTGGACAGGGGCTGGACTCGAAGATCCAGAGGGTCCCTTCCAGCTCTGCAACTTCTAAGGTGATGATGATGATGATATTTCATAGCACACTGTTTTTGAGCATTTAAGGCGCCTTGTGCTATCTCAACACCACCATCCAAACAAAGGTATTTCAGTATCAGGAGTGTGACCAATGACATTCCTTTTTCTTTGGGGTTTTCTCAGTCTAGCTAGGTTGAGATTCCCCGTTGAGATTCCCTCCTGAATCAGTGGTATTTCCTTGCCAAGAAGACAACTCCTTTCTCATTTCCCCTGTCTTTCCCCACAACCATCACCATCACTATTTTTGCTGGCTGTTTTGCATACAATTTGGCAATTTGTCTGCATAGAAGCCACCAAATTCGGTGCAAACTTAATGCCCTTTCTAGGCAAGTCCTGCACAGGAAAGATGCCACTCTCAGCAGGCATTGTTAATGATCTTGCTCCACATAATTTGGTTCCCTCTGTTTGTAAATGAATCCTGCACAGGACGGATACCGTTCTGAGAGGAACTATAATCCTGCATAGCCTGATACTTCAACAAAGAAGAGGAAAGTTTGAAACTCAACAAAACCTGGCTACCAGCTCTCAAAAATAGTGTGCAAAAGCTCAACAAACTCTACCCAGCCACAAGGACCGGGGACCACTACACACAAAAGACCAGCTAATGACACCCATCAACCACAGTGACAGATAATCTCTCCTTAGCGCAACAACACACCCACAACAAGACACGCTAATCACCCATCTACAGAAAAAGACAAAAGCCCGTCTCACAGCCATAAATACCCCACTCCAAAGCCAACTACACCAGAGCACAGAGTGCTGTCCTCTGAAGATGCCGGCCACAGAGACTGGCAAAACATTAGGAAGAACAACCTTCAGAACTTGGACAAAGAGCCCGAAAACCCCACAACAACCATTAGATCCTGGCTGTGAAAGCTTTCGCAAATACACTGATATTTCATCCTTTTTAAAAAAAGGAACTGAGCACCACGTGAGGGACACAGCAAGGGGAGATGGGCTGATTTCCCCTTGTGAAAGCCAAACTAGACTTTGGGAGTGAAAACTTAAGGAGTTCCCACTAGGGACTTGAGCGCAGAAACTAGTGGGCGGGAGGTTTAACCTTGCTGTTAAGTCACAGACAACCACGGGCACCTGGGCAGTTTCAAAGGCATTTTCCCCAGAGCGCAAGGAACCTCCTTGAAATACAGAAGCCAGGCTTGCTTGGAGATTCTTGGAGTAATCAGGTTTGGAAGGGGACCCAGCTCTGGAGACAGAAAGAAGGGGGGAAAGTGAGGACAGATGATATGCGATGGGTGCAGTGGAAGGACTTTAAGCCATACGTGTCTCCTATCAATTCACCACTAAGAAGGACCCTCCCCTCTGCCCCAGCCTTCAGATTCTCTGTTAAATCCTTCCCCGGAGGAGGATCACGTTGGGGCACAGAGCTGAACGATAGGGAATCCACAACAGTCAGGACTAGATTAAGGCTCTAGATCACAGCCGGCAGCAGAGAACGTAAAACGCAGCTGTCTTTAAAGCAGCCATCCTTGGCCAACATCTGCATCGGCTTTCACAGGGTTTGGCGGTGAGATCCCAGAAGGTGGGAGGGAAGGGAAGAAGCTGTAATGTCTTCAAGAGCTGCCTACGGGCCTCCTCGTGGCACCTGGCGGGCCCCTGAGGAACACCAGCAACTGGCTCATAATGTGAACCTTCCTTTCTGGGACTACAATTCCCAGGCCCCCCAGTTTGCTATGCTCTGGATTCTAAAGACCCTTCTTCTCTTTGTCCAGCCAGCTTCCCATGACCGGCTTAACGACTTCCTTTTCAACCATGCCTTTTCCCCCCAGAGAGCATCCGTGGCTCACACCTTCTGATGTTTACCTTCACAACAAACCTGTGAGGTAGACCAGACCTCACAAAGCATGACTGGTCCAAGGTTGCCGTTGCCGTCATCATCCTTCGAAAACACCCGGCAGAGTCAATCGAAATTATAAAAATTGGACAGGCCTCTGGCATTTGCCAAACCTTGCCCTAACCACTAGACCAAACTCTTACGACCAGATTCTCCACCAGAGAAGCAGGACAGCTCCCCCACCCCACCCCCACGCTGGCCACCATCTAGAACCAGCAACACCAACACAATCACCCTTTCGCCAGCCGAGCTCAGCAAGGTGCCTGGCTGAACAGCATAGGACCCGACCAAGCCTTTGCCGGCTCAGTGATTTCCCAGAATGGTGGTTTTTCCGGGTCCAGTTGGGAAGTCACTGCAGGTGCCAGAATGACTCTCTGGCTCCAGTTTCGGTGGAATGCTGCTTCCCGCAAGGATTCCCGGGGAACGAGATACAGCAAAACCATGAACTTTATCATCCCCTGGTCCCCAATACTGGCTACTCTCCACTTCCTCCCGAGCGATGCTCCAACGGTGGTGGCCACGGGCAGCTGTGCTGCGTTCGCTCAGGCTCTGTACTCGAAATAGCTGTCTCGGACTTCCCTCTCCTGCGAGGTCACCCTCTTCCCGGATGGGAAAGTCTGGAAGGTCCTCAGGTTTTCCGGAGACAGCCGGTGGAGGTGCCACAGGGTCTTGGCGCTCAACGGTGGGCTGGAAGAGACATGAGGAAGGGCGGGGAGGAGAGAACAGAAGCACACGGAAGAGACCGGAGTTATTACACAGCTGTTGGTCCGCCTGAAGGAACCCAAAGGAGATACAGTCATGTGAAAAGCAAAATACACCCTCTTTGAATTCTATGGGTTTTATTTTTACAAATCAAATACATTTATCGTCATTGCAAGTCTATTCATAGTATACCCATACAACGAAATTCACACAGACGCCCAGAGGCCAGACCCACCTGCACACACATAGAAAATCCCCAAACACTCCCCACCCACTAAAAATCCCCCACTAAGAATACAAACATCTACACCGCAGGCTAAGTCACGCTGTCCAGCTATTCAGTACTGGTGGTCTTTAAGCTCATTATTAAGTGCAATTATAGCTCTGGGATAAAAACTATTCAGAAAACGTGCGCTCCGAGTCTTAATTGTTCTGTATCTCCTACCAGACGGCAACAGTTCAAAAAAGTTGCAAGCAGGATGTCTTGCATGAGGACATAATAAAAGTCATCGGGTCCTTAGCAGGTCTGAAAATAGGTAAATACAACCTCAGGTGAGAAACAACACGTGACATATTACGCCGTCTCATGATTTATTTAACAAAACAACAACAAAAGCCAACATGGGAGTCCTGTGTGAAAAGCTAAGTACATCTTATGAGTCAATAGCTTGTAGCAGCAATCACTTGAAGCCACTGTTTTCTGGAGGACTATATCCGTCTCTCACGTTCTTGTGGAGGAATTCTGGCCCTCTCTTCTTTACAACGTTGTGTCACTTCCTCGAGGTTTGTGGGCCTTTGTTTATGCCCAGCTCTCATAAGGTCCGGCCACAGCATTGCAGTCGTGTTGAGGTCTGGGATTCGACGGGGCCACTGCAATGTCTTGATTCTTTGCTTTTTTTCAGCCATTCTGCTGTAGATTGGCCACGTTCTTGTGGAGGAATTCTGGCCCTCTCTTCTTTACAACGTTGTGTCACTTCCTCGAGGTTTGTGGGCCTTTGTTTATGCCCAGCTCTCATAAGGTCCGGCCACAGCATTGCAGTCGTGTTGAGGTCTGGGATTCGACGGGGCCACTGCAATGTCTTGATTCTTTGCTTTTTTTCAGCCATTCTGCTGTAGATTGGCAGGTATGCTTATTTGACGGGGCCACTGCAACGTCTTCTTTTCTTTTTTTCAGCCATTCTGCTGTAGAGTGGCAGGTATGCTTGGGATCCCTGTCCTGTTGCATGACCCAATTTCGGCCAAACTTTAGCTATCAGACGGATGGCTTCATATTTGACTCTAAAATACTTTGCTATACAGAAGAGTTAATGGTCGACTAAATGACTGCAAGGTGCCTGGGTTCTGTGGCTGCAAAACAGGCCCAAATCATCACCCCCTCCACCACCGTGCTTGACAGTTGGTAGGAGGTGCGTTTGCTGATATGCTGTGTTTGGTTTTCACCAAATATGGCACCGTGCATTAGGGCCAAACATCTCCAACTTGGGTCTCGTCTGTCCAAAGGACATTGTTCCAGAAGTCTTGTGGTTTGTCCAGATGCAGCTTTCCAAACCTAAGCCGTTCTGCCATGTTCTTTTTAGAGAGGGGAGGATTTCTCCTGGCAATCCTTCCAAACAAACCATACTTATTCAGTCTTTTTCTAATTTTACTGTCATTTTACTGTCATGAACTTTAACATTTAACATGCTAACTGAGGCCTGTAGAGTTTGAGATAGAACTTTTGGGGTTTTTTGCAATTTCTTTGAGCATCGCAAGGTCTGACCTTGGGAGTGAATTTGCTTGGACGTCCACTCCTGGGAAGATTGGCAACTATCTTGAATGTTTTCCAGTTATGGATAATCTTCTTCACTGTAGAATGATGGACTTTAAATTGCTTGGAAATTGCCGTATAACTCTTCCCAGATTGATGGGCAGCAATAATTGCATCTCTACGATCATTGCTGATGTGTTTCCTTCTTGGCATAATGGGCAGCAATAATTGCATCTCTACAATCATTGCTGATGTGTTTCCTTCTTGGCATTGTGTTAACACACACCTGAATAATGATGCTCCAGATAAGCAAACTGCTAAAACTTTGGCTTTTATAGAGGTGGTCATACTTGCCGATGATCAATTACTGAAGGGCATTTGGTTTTCCAATTTTGTCAAGGTCTATGGTCATGGATTAATAGAATATTGTCTTTTGCCAGCCCAGCGTTGTTTCACATCAGCACTTTAACAACGCATTGAAAATGTATATAAGGCGGAGGGGGGGGGAGTGGAATGCAGAATTTTATTTCCAATTTCTCCTTCCAAATTGCATGCATAGTATAAATGTACCAGCCATGAGTGGGAAGGAGCAGTGTTGGAGGCTACACACAACACACACAAAAGCTGGGTTATGCTTGTGATTTGTTTAGTAGTCTACTCAAGGTTATCAGCCCCCCCCCCCCGGCTTCAAATTGTTTTGCTGCACACAGAAGGGCAGGAAGAGCAGTTAAGAAGCCATCAGAGGTGTGTCGCTCTCTGCTTGCCCACTCAGGCACGTGTGAGCAGCTCACCTGGCATCTTTTTCCCTATACAGTATTTCCCAAGGCACCTGAGCTGTGGAACAGCCACTTGGTACCACCAGAGGGCAACCATAAACCATAAGACCATTCAGGACTGGTCTGTAGCCACTTCAGTTTGTTTGAGCCAGCAAACACCCCAGGGATGGAAGGGAGCAGCGTGCCGGCACAGAAAAATTCACCATGTGAATCAGTACGTTCATCTCTCAGCGATGCTTTCGTTCTGGACTCCTGCATTAGCAGACAATTCAAGTGGATGACCCCCCAGAGCCTCATCTAGCCCTACAAGTCTATGAGTCTGTGATTCAAAGATCATATCCGGAAGCAATTCCCACAATTATAACCCCAGGAAAAAGGGCTCCCCAGCGGCATTCAACGCTGGATCTCTTGCAAGCAAGGGCTGGCTTCTTACTCTGAAGGGAAGAATCACACCTAAACCAGGTCAGTATGGTTGAATCACGGAACAGTTGAATCACGGAAGGGAGCCCAAGGGTCATCCAGACCAACCCCCTCCTGAAGCAGAGAACTCACGGCTAAATCATCCCTAATAGCTTCCTATTTAATCTGTTTCAAAATCTTCAAGGAAGGAGAGCCCACCGTCTTTTGAGGTACTGCTCCACTGTTGAACAGCTCCTTACTGCCAAAAAGTTATTTCCACTGCTTACTAGCGAAAAGAATATTTGCTCAGTTCATTGCTGTTGAACTAGGTTGCCATAATTTGACAAGACTCTTCTGCCGCGGATAGGCTTCCTCATCTCCAAGCACACGGGAGGCAAGAAGTACACGTATTTTACCATTACGTTTTCCATAGCAGGCAAATATTGTCTTCACCACTTTCCGTTTGAGAAACAAGCACACACACACACAGAGGGCAGCACACAACATCCGGCTGATGACTGAAAAAGAGGCAAACTACCCATCCGACACTCATAATTTCCACAGTTCTGTGCAACAAAGGAACCGCCCTCATCAGTTCAAATGGGTGGTGTTTTGTTACTATTTTGTTGAAAATATTCTTCTCGTTTTCATACCTTTCTCTTGTTGAGAGCACCTCTTGCCTCCTCGTTGGGGGGAGAGACATAACCTCCTCTTTAGTCACAAGGTCCTTTCTTGTCATTCGGCCCAGCTTGCTTCATCCTCCACCTGCCAGCCTTTCAAACCTCGGAAGACGGCTTTTCTTTCCCTGCTCCCTGAACAACAGCACAAAAGCTGTTGCCATTCTGCCTTCCACCTGCTCTTGCTATTTTTCAAGATACATGTCCGGCTGAAGAAGTGATGCTCGGTGTGTGATGGGCCTGCGCTGCGTCCCAGGCTCGCCTCCCACAAGATGAACAGGAGACTCCGGCACAGAGACAGGCTGGGAAGACAGGATGTGGCCCACCTGGTCGCCTTCAGAAGCAGGACAGGGGAAAGTTTAACAGAGGAAAAGCCCCTTCGGGGGACTCTGCCACTGCTAAGGCCTATAAAGAATCGGACAGATGGATAGGGCCAAATGGACAGGGAGAACGGAGGCAGGATTGCTTTGGGCTCGAGATTACCCCGAGAATGGAAATATCGGAGGGCCACATGCACCTAAGAAAAATTCCAAAATAGCATTTCTGCATCACAGCAATCTGTTCCTGAGAATCATGCTTGACACTGCAAAGGAGCACAACAGGTCAAACGATATCAAGAGGGCGTGTACAGAGCGCTAAGGAAGAAGGACCTTGTCGGAATGGGATCACTCACATGCACATGTGCTCATGATCGCACGTTTTGGGGCTGATCTCCTTGATGAAAGGAACAGGGAAAGCTTGGAGCGATCCAGGCACAGACTGGAAGGCTTTATTCCAAGGGATTCAGAGCGATGAGGAACAGAAGCAAATGGCAGGCATTTTACACGAGCTTTCTTTCTGCTGTTTGCATGGAATGAACCCCTCCCCTGCATCTGGCCTTTGGCGGCACCTTCCTTTTAAGCCTGGAGATTGCACATCCCTACCGCAGGTGACCAGCCCTGATGGGGATGGATCACCTCCAGGCTTCAAAGGAAGGGACCTCCAAAGGCAGGGGAAGAGGGCAATCAGGAGACAAGGTCTCTCGAGGTCTCTTGTGCTCCCAGAGGGCATCTGGTGGGAGATTCAGGAAGCTGGACTTGGCCTGATTCAGCAGAGCTCTTCTTACGTTCAGGCTGCATATTAACACTGCGCACAGGAATCAAAAGCAAACAAGCAATCGTCTCCAACTCCACCACCACTGGGGGAAAATCCAGCAAAAACGAGAGAACTGTCAATCCCCCCCCCCCAGTCCTAGTGTTTTGTTTGACACCCAAAACGGGGGTGTGAGGGGTACGAGTGGCTAGCTCTTAAAAGGCTGTCTGGCCACCCGTTTACCATAGGACTGCGTTTTGGCAGTGGCGGGTGGGCTCCTCCTTTGATCGTTTTAAGACAGGGAGGTACTACAATGTTCCACCCACCACCACCACCACCCCCAACCCACACTCCTTGTGTGCCAGAAATAGTTATGCCTATTGAACTTGGCAGGTGCACACGGGGGTGCCTTTGAATTTCATTCGTTTCTGATGACAATGCCTCAAAAAAGGTGGCTTTTATTCCTAAATTCAAAAAGGAAAACTGGGGATTTAGAAACAGTAGAAAGCGGGAAGGGGGCAACATTTCCCAATATTTATCTGTAGGCATTTCTAGTATCCAGGCTCAGCTGGAGAGAAAATCATTTATGGGGTCAGACACTGGAGACCACAGCAGTTCTCGCCCTTGATTTATTAAATCTGGATCCTTCCTCTCTTTCCAAACAGCTGGAGCAGATCCAGATTTGAACACAAACATTGGTAACTGCCATGTTGACTTTCGTTTTAAGTACAAAGACTTTCACACAGCCTACATTCCCAAAACGTAAATCTTCTGACATTTTAAGGAAGCCTCAGGTAGAAGACAGTACGTGAGCACTCTGGTTTTAATCAAATTACAGTCAAGAGGAACTTAAGTCACGCAGTTACAACAGAGCCATCAGGCTTGCCAGCAGTCCACACATGCAAATACCCGACAGAGAGCTTGACTACCAGGGCCCGGAGACGGCAATGGGGATTCCCGCAAGCGATCCCATAGGGACGTTGCCGGGATGCACAATGTAAGGAGAGGGACTGTAGGTCAGGAAGAGATCAACTGCTTAAGTCCCACCGGTGACTCAACTCGGACTTGACCCATTTTTGGTTGGTGTTGTTTTAATGACTCAGACCTGACTCAAGACTTGGAACCCACCCACCCTCGCCTTTTTTCTGGGGACAAAAACCTGTTTTCCATAGGAACTCAGACTGGGCCCTTGGCCCCAAAGACTTGGGAGTCAGACTTAGGACTTGGTACCAAAGACTCCGACACAAGACTCGGGACTGTAAGGCTTGCCACAGACAGTCCCAGATTCAGTTGGATCTTGGTAGCAGGGTTTCAAAAGCCCTTCTTTTTCAGGGTAGCAGAAAAAAACAGGGAGGCCATGTGGGGTAGTGGGCAGAGGGATGGACTGGGTTCAAATCTCTACTCAGCCATGGAAGCAGAATGCACTAGTAAAGGTAAAGGTTCCCCTTGACATTTAGTCCAGTCGTGTCTGACTCTAGGGGCGGTGCATCATCCCCGTCTCCAAGCCGCAGAGCCATTGTTTGTCTGATGAGTTTCCATGGTCATGTGGCCAGCGCGACTGTACTGTAGACAGTTTCCGTGGTCACGTGGCCAGCGCAACTAGACACGGAATGCCATGACCTTCCCAGCGAGGTGGTCCCTATTTATCTACTCGCATCTTTACATGCTTTTGAACGGCTAGGTTGGTGAGGAGCTGGGACAAGCGACGGGAGCTCCCTCCGTCGCGTGGATTCGATCTTACAACGGCTGGTCTTCTGACCTTGCAGCACAGAGACTTCTGGGGTTTAACCCGCAGTGCCACCGACATCTCTAGTGGGTTTTGCAACCCTGCACTAGTAAAACCACAACTTAACTATCTCATACACCTTGAAAACCTGTATGGGGGTCCTTGTAACTCAGATGTGCCTTGACGGCACGTAACATAGATAGTAAACCATGCCAACTGAAGCGGAAGCCTTGGGCCAGGATGGCCTTCCTATGTTTCAGGTTGTATGGTGATACTGCTGAACATCTTCCCACCCCACGTGCGCTTACTGAAAAGGAACTCAGTGTCTCCTGGGATGTCCCAGGCTCCAGATACCAGGGTCAAGGTCCGCATAAGGGATAAAGATCGCCCTTTAAAAGGGGGGGAGGTGTTAGAGATTCACCGGTCATCAGTTTTAGCTCTGGATCCCACAGTTCTGTGCTTCTACGATTCCTGACTGCAAAGAGCAGGAACAGGGAAAGACCAATCCATATGAAGATCGCTTTGGGAAGGAGTGGAAATCAACAGAGCAAACTGGTCCCTCTCCTCAGTTGTACAAGTGAACAGGGCAGAAAAGCAAGCAGGACAAACTGGGGTCTGGCAAGAAAAGTAAAGGACAGCTGGTGCGCCTCTCTCCCCATGAGATGGCCAAGCCTGCTTAGGACCTGAAGGCCAGCCTCCCCTCTCCGTCAGACCGCCTCTCTCACACGCAAACATGATCAGAAATGGTCCTTCCAGTGTTCCATAGGCAGCGACTCTCCTGCAAGTCCCAGCTGCTTCATCCACCACTGCCCTTGAAGACAGTCTCTCCTCGGGAGGGATCCAGAGCACCGCTAAGGTGGAAAGGTTCTCCTGACATCCTGGATGTGGGCCAGAAGGGAAAGGCAGGAAGGACGAGAAAAGAGAAGAACTCTTCTTGAAGCACGGGAAACCTTTCTGGGCTGGGTTGTTTGTAAAGAAAGAATTAAGAGGACTCAGGCCTATGGTAAAATAAAAAGGGAAATTAGATTTCAAATAAAGAAATAGGGGGCAGAAAGCAAAACAAGCAAACAAAACCTCCTCGAGAATTAAAATTATCCCGTATTCAGAGAGATCGTTCATTTCTTCCTCCTGCTTGAAAGCGACCATTTGATGACAGAAGGCGGAGGAACTGCATTCATACAGAACGAATGGCGTGTAAGAAATATGTGAAGTGTCTGTCTAGTTTGTATTGCCCTCCTGTGGAGGATCTCAGCTCCCAGGATCTGCTTGTGAATGGGTCTCCGCCCCTTTGCCATCAGCCCCTTGGCCCTGAATCTCTCAACCGCGTGGTCTGAGAGCGACTCCCGCGGTCATTTGCCCTCCTAAGCTCCTCACCTTCTTTCCAAGGCAACCAGATGCTTTTCAAAAGCGTTCCCATAAAACTCTAAAGACAGAAAACCCTTCTCCCCACATTTGCCCAACACACTCACAGGTCAAGGGGGTGAGGGTACTTGTCTTTCTCCTTCACGGGCAAGACGAAGTATGGGACCCGGTGCACCGTCCCAGTCTTGTCGGTGTAACATGCACGATGCATTTGGGCAAGCTGTGGGTCAAAAACAAACACCCAGTCAGCCACAGGTGCAAGACTGGACTTGGCATCATCATCATCATCATCATCATCATCATCATCATCATCATCATCATCATCATCATCATCATCATCATCACTGTATCAGAACATCCGGTTCTACCCAGCCTCCTTCTCTTTTTGGAAGATCCAGGGGATGAATAGATGTTTTTCCCCAACTCAGGACAGGTTCTGCGGGCAGCGTGTTGCTCAAAGCAGGAAAATCTAAGAGATCTGGCCAGCCAGGAAGCTCAGTGAAATTGGTCGAGAGGTGAGGGCCTCGGGGTGATCCCCAGGAGGAAAGGGAGTTTTTTTCCAGGTGATCATTGGATGACAGATATTGCTTTAATGTATCTGCCAGAAAAAGCTAACAGACAGGATTGGGGCCCAGGCCACCGGGAAGACGGCAACTCTCCACGTGAGCCCTCCCAGTTTTTTAGACCTTGCCGGGAAGGTCCTTCTCGCATTTCCACTCAGTGCTGCTCACGGGCAGGATGTTTTCCCAGGACACGAGAGAGGGCTTGTGCAGTGGCTGTTCCCAGGCTGTGGAACTCCCTTCAACAAGAAGCTAGGCTGGCCCTCTCCAGGCAAAGATTTTTCTCTTCAAGCAAGGATTGAGAGAGAGGGTGTGTGCGCCCGCGCGTGTGTGTTTAATGTTTAAAATTGTTTCGAGTTATGGGTCTAAGTTAGAGGGCTCACAGCTCCTTTCTCCATCAATGGCTTCCAACCCTCCTTTTCCATTCTTTTCATTCATTTTCCTTTTAAGTGACAACTTAATGGCATGGATTTCATTTGCACGGAATGAACAGTTTGCTCCTAAGCTGGCCAAGGCTCAACCCAACAGCTGCCCTGTCAGCTCAGTGGGGCAGAGACTGCCACCCCCACAACAGCCTGTATCATTTGTCTGCAGGCTGTCTTCGGAGACACGGGTGGGGCGAAGACATGAGGGCTTTGAAAATAGACATATTTTTAAAATATAAGCACTGCATGAGCACTAACAAATAAAATACAGAATTGAACAAACATTGTTCTCAATTCATCAATTTCGGCAACCCACTCTTGACTATTTATAGTTTGCTTAACTCTCGTGGAGCCGCTGAATGCTGGAAAACAAGACTCCTGTCCAAAATCTCAGCTCTCCCTGGGATGGGGCGGATTTAAGCAGCGGTCAGCACAGGAAGGTCTGATCGAAGGCCAGCTCCCAGTGCAAGAAAGCAGGTGATGAGCCCACCGCCAGACATGGCCATTTGTGTGCAAACACCCACACCCACCCCACTCCCACACCCCACTGTGCTCCATATCCAGCCCTTCTGTCGCTGTTTTTGATTTTTTTTTTTCCTCTGCAACGCCTGGAGCTCCACGCACCCTCTGCAGAGGCAAGACGGGCATGGATGCAAGAGCAGGAACGCTCTGCTCGTGGGCCTTTGGGCTAGAAGCAGGAGGGCAAAGTGGATGATGGGATCCAGGGAGTCTTTTCTTTTACTCTCCTGTACTTCAGGGGCCAGTAGGACAGGCCTGCAGAGCAGCTTGCAAACTACCTACCCCTTTGGATGGAGTCACTGGAAGCTTATCAGAGGCTCCCACCACCACCAAGATTTCTCACAGCACATCAGCCTCCCTTGATGATGGCCTATGTACCTGAACTGATCTTCCCTGGAACAGCCGGGGGTGCTTTTCAAATAGACTCTCAGTGTGCACAGGATCCATCAATGGCTTCCAAGGGAGTCACAAGCCTGACTGATACTCGCCACCCCAGAATCTGCTCTGTGCTGTCAGGCTGCAATCCCTCATGACACAGGGGAGGTTTCACAGTAGATGTGTAGAGGCCACAAGCACCAACGGTGACCACTGATGAGTCCCATTTCGGAGGTGCTGCGAATCCGCCCCAGATTTTAGTTTGCAGTTTACCGGAGCTTAGATAATGCTGGCAAAGTCCAGGCTAAAACCCAACACAGATTTCACAGCACTTTCAAAAAGTGGTGTCACCAGGAGACTGATGAAAATATAGAGGGTGGTCCTGAAGGCAAAAACTTAAGTAACTCTGAATGAGTTTAACAGCCTCTGGTGAGAAAATGAAGCAGCAAACGCTTCTCCCACTAATACCCATCTTCCTTCTGAACCAGAGTTCTCCCCACCATCCCAGCACCGTCTGCGTTCACCCAGCTTTTTGCATTTTTCAAAACCTGTTCTATTCTCACTTATCCATTTTAGGGCCATTTCAAAAAAAAATCCACAGGATCCCTTCCCTAGAACAGGCCATGCTGATCATGAATTACTCCGTTTCAGACTACGGAGGGTGTTTGCTACCATGTCACCAAAAGCCCCTCCAAGGTAGAAAATGAAGTTGCCAGGTTAGGGAGAGAAGATGGGAAACAAAAGGTAAATGGCCCATCGCATCATCTTTGATAAGACTCCGTCTGAGAAACAACTAAGTTGCACATGCTTTAAAATGTGAGAAGACGCCATTAGATGCAACTTGAAGCCTACATGAAATCCAGAAAGGCCTGATTCAATTAGGTTTGCACCACTTTAACTCTCTGAGCAAATAGACTTCCCGAGTTTAGCTTCATCAGCGCTTTGAATCTTACCCCTCCCTTTATCTTTTCTTTTCTGGGGTGGGTGGGAGGGAGGCAAATCCTTGCCTAATTAAGGCATCTCAACATCTCAAAAGCTGCCACAAATTCGTACACATTTTTGATGGATCCTAGTAAATAAGTGCCTGTCAGTGGATTCAGAAATGCAGTATTAAAATACATGAGGAGGGGGGCATTCAAAGATGCAGCCCCCTCCACGGCAACACATTAACAAGCAGTCCTATCAAGACATATCCTCCAGGAAAAAAAATAGTACTCCAAACTCTTGTACTCGCAATCCTGAGGACTGTGTAAGTTTACCAACAGATGGTAAGCATGCAGTGACAGGATTACGCTGTCCTAGTACAATGTGTCCAGCATAGTTGTTAAAATGCGATAATTAGTTATAACTGGGTGTTGTTGCTGTTGTTATGTGCCATCAAGCTGAAACCAACGTATTCCAACCCTAATAAGGCTTTCAAGGTTAGCGAGCTATTCAAGGAACGGCTTCTATCCACTACACCACACAGAGTATCTCGTAACTGGGTGCTCGTAGCGTATTTTCTGAGGTTGGAAAAAGTTACTTTCAGACCGCAGCTCCAAGAAGAGCCAGCGCGTATGGCCACTATCCGTGCTTACTGCAGAATTATGGGAGCTCCAGTCTGAACAGTAAGTTTCTCTCCCAAGTTCTGCAACTCTCGAACCCAAGGATCCTTCAAATGTATGCCCAAAAGGCCACCTTACCTGGTGGAACTCCTTTAGTTCTGCTGCACGGTTGAAATCCAGATTATAACGGGAAGAGGTTGGGGTGTGGAGCCACCTGTCCCAGCCTCTTGCCCTCGCACCCAGCACCAGGCCTGGGTCACGCGAGAAGAGGGTAGGGAACTGCCCCCCTTTGCTATAGGGGCTGTGGCTGGTCTCCATGGCTGCACTTCGGAAATCCTGGAAATATTTCATGGTGGCATTTCCATACGTGTCTCCAAAGGAAAACGCCACGTTCGGGACATGCCCACGGTACCTGGAGGGAAGGAGGGAGAAAAGAGGGAAGGAGCATGAAATTTGGAAAGAAGAAACCAAGTTATTTATTATTTTTCACCATCTCAATTGTATTCCCCTCGAGAGTTGTGCAATCATCTCTTTTACCTGCAAAACCGTTATTTTCAGTATGCCAGTTTTCCGGATGAAAAAGTGAAATCAGTAACTCCTCCTGATGATGCTTTTAATCTCTATAACAAAATAGGCAATCTCTATGCCTTGCAACCCCTTCATGGATTGCTGCCTTGTCGTGGTGAAGGGGCTTGAGTAACTCAGAGAAGCTATGGGCTATGCCGTGCAGGGCCACCCAAGACGGACAGGACATAGTGGAGAGTTCCGACTAAATGCAATCCACCTGGAGTAGGAATTGGCAATGCCACTCCAGTATCTTTGCCAAGAAAACCCCATGATCAGAAACAAAAGGCTGAAAGATATGACACTGGAAGATGGGCCCCTCAGGTCGGAAGGCGTCCAACATGCTACTGAGGAAGAGCAGAGGACAAGTACAAGTAGCTTCAGAGCTAATGAAGTGGTTGAGCCAAAGCCGAAAGGATACTCAGCTGTGGACGTGCCTGGAAGTGAAAGGAAAGTCTGATGCTGCAAAGAAAAAATACTGCATAGGAACCTGGAATGTAAGATCTATGAACCTTGGGAAG